ATACAGAGTGTAAAAATGTATTCACACCTCGAATGATTACAATTTCAGTTTTAATTTACATATAATGAATATTGAATGCATATATGAATCGCAAAAAAATATACATAAAATATATATCAGATGTTCAAAATTATTAGCGTTCTGGTCAAGGCAGTGCTGGTAACGGTGAGCTATTAGTTTACAAACTTCAACCAATATTTAATTTGGCGTCGTGGCATATACCTGTTCGATTATCGCTTTTAAATATTCCTATGCCTTTGGTTATCTGGCGTAAACCTTATTTTCGAGGTATCGCCACAACTGAAGGCTCATTGGCGTTAGATCTGAGAAATGGGTGGAATACGAAACAGGGGTAGCTAGAGGTCTGTAGCACCCCTTCGTCCAGCCCACCTGTTTAGAAGGTTATTATAAAGTGATGCTTTTAGGTCACTATAATAATGTGCAAATATTTTGTCTTGTTGAAAATTAAATTAGCTTTAAATTAAAGATTAAATTATTAAATCCTTCCGAACACGTGGTGAAATCGGTTGGTACAGTAAATTCAAACAACTGGTACAGTCACTGTACTGTTAAAAAAGAATAGTATAAAAAACATCTTGCTCGACCTGTGGCATAACAGACAATGTAACATGTAGATTTCCGGTCACCCTATTATATCGGTCAATTGTGTCATTTGATTTGATTGTGGCTTTCTTGCTTTAAACACTCTTCCCAAAAAACTTCACATTTCCTTAGTTCTTAGTTAGGAAATTGTTCTCTTCGACTTGGTTTCTCCGCTGATTGCATTTATTATCGTTGCAATGTCACTTTTCCCCTTACAACGTTTTGGAATGCGATAAACACTTGATTTGTTGATGCCAAGCTCATAATGTTATTGTTTTGCAGATTTGTGGGATGTTTTTTTACAACTTTATGGTATTTTTTTTCATGACTGATGTAACTCGTTGAGGTTCTTGGTTTTTCCGGAACGATGTCTATGAACATCCTGAACAGTTACATCCATCTGAAAATACTTTTCATCCAATTAATTACAAATCGCATAGGAGGATCTGCCTGGGACCGACGTTTTTACAATATTGCCTCTGTACTAGGGTTACATCTTTAAACTATGAATAACATTTTAAAATTAATATTTTCTTGTTCAAAGGTTATTTTCTAATTCATTCATTATCTCCAATCAACCATACCCTGAAAAAGAACAACCAGAAGATTATGATTCGTTAAACAGTGCATACATTTTTCCAGGGACACATAAAAAAGTATATGAGAGAAGACAAACACATATATATATAAAAAGCTACTATGGTTGGTGGTTATAAAGCTGGCATAGCGACCAATAAATCCTAAGTTATTCTTACCATGGATACTCTTACAGGACCGGCTATGGGTTCTAATCGGCAGCTGATGGATGGTAACTGGCGAACTTTACGGAAGCTTTCGTATGTCGGTCTCATTTGGATGTGCGCCTGTTACATAGCTTTCCGTTTCGGTACGGGCGACCTTTCGCAGGTGAGTAATAATTTTTTTTATCTATCTGTTTATCTATCTAATTGTTTTATCTATCTGTTAGATATAATTACCGTCATCATCGGTTAGGTTAAAAAAAACTTTGTTCCTTCAAGCACTTGCTTGATCTACTCCAATTTTACTTTCAATTTAATTCGGTATTTCATGCCAGTTCTATCCAGCAGAAAGTTAGTGCATGATGTTAGCTAGTTTTAACAACAGACTAAGATTTTCAAAATATTTCGTTGTGACGTCTTCTTTTATAAGTTGGGATAACGGAAAAAGTTAAAGATACTTGATGGGGTGTTAAAAGTGAAGCTTTAAAGCGGAGTTTGTTAAAGCTTAAAGTTTAAAACGCACCTTTGGATATTTTATAAAAAAAAAAAAAAAAAAAATGCGCTGTCCGGTTTTTGCATTTATCCCAGAAAAATGCGAAGCCGGGCAAACATCACACTTTTTAGCCTTCTATAACTATCAAGGGAAGAAATATAGATATCATAACAAACATACGTAATCTACAGTGATATAATGCATTTTATTTTACGCTATTCCAGAATCCGTTTTTGGGAGTTCCAGCGCAGCGAGCCTTACTACAAAAGCTTCCGCAAGATGCCACAGGTAGCGCCGATTCTTCCGCAAATGTTATCCCTCAGGGTGTCGGTGCAGCTCCAGGTCCATCAACGACTCAGACATCCGTTCCTTCATCTGGCGTTGTCGATCGTGACGTGAAGATTGATAAGGATGCAAAAAACATTGATGATATTCTGAGCCAGCTAAAAGAAGTGTCGAACATTCCTTATGCATACTGGGACCCGAAAATTCCAAAACCACCGATAACTTCTAAATCTTGTGTAAAATATCCGCCATTGTATGATTTGCAATTTAATAATCTGTACTGGCAAAAGTTGAATACGAATAATGGCTCATTCTTTATTTACGGAGCGTATCTCGATATACGACAGCGGGTAGGAAAGGTTCCTCTAGTGCGCATATTAGCTATGATTGACCGCATCAAACCAACGACGAAGTATTGCCTTTTGTGGTATGATAACGCTACCATGCCTGTTGTGTCGTTAGCTTCATATACTTATGCGTGGTATTCAAGATGGGGTAATTACAAAGATGGTCTTTTGCAACCTTTCATAGTTAGTTGCCCAGCGCCCTTTCAAAAAGGTCGAGGGTTATACCCTTCCTCTGTATCACTCGTTGAGCGGCAATGTACCCCACCAACAAATAATGTGAGGGTAATTCACAACGCGCCGGAAATCAAACAGGATTTTGCTGTATGCGTTAAAGGATTAGACTTTCTCAAAGATGACCTCAGCGTACGACTTGTCGAATGGATTGAGTTGCTGAATATACTTGGTGCTAAAAAGATTTTTTTCTACGAGCTTGAGGTACATCCCAATATATCAAAAGTTCTTCAACATTATGTAGGTAAGGGTATTGTCGACAATACCCCGCTAACGCTTCCTGGAGACATGCCGAATCTTCCAGCCCTTCGACATCAATTTCTGAAACAGCGTACGAACCACAAGCGGCAGAATGAGCTAATTCCATACAATGATTGTTTATATCGCAATTTATACTCATACGATTTCATCGCATTGTTAGACATCGATGAGGTAATCATGCCGATCAACCACGAGGGTTGGGCAGATCTAATGAGGGAAGCAATACAACCGCAGGCCCTTAAAGAGCATAACTATACGCGCGCAAGTTACAATTTCCGCAATGTCTACTTCATGGACGACATGCTAAAGGGGGAAGAAATGAAACACGAAGTTCATGAGGTGGGCATCCCACCTTACATGCACATGTTACAGCACGTGTACCGCGCTAAAAATTTCACCAAGCCTGGCGCTTACGTCAAGTGCTTCCATGACACTCAGCGAGTGGTGTCGCTGCATAACCATTTTCCATTGAACTGTTTCGGATCATGCACGACCTATAGTGTGCCACCTGAGATAGCTCAAATGCAGCATTATCGCAAAGACTGCGTTGGCCCACTCCAAAAAAGCTGCGAGTCAGAATTCAAAAGCAGCACAATCCGCGATACAACGATATGGCGATACAAAGACGAACTAATCACCAGAGTTACTGCTACTCTTCAAAAGTTGGACTTCTTTGCTAGCTAGGGTATCTCCTAGATGTGCATATATTTTATTTGTAGTAATACTTGGAAAAGTAAGTAAGTAGACTAAGAAAAACTAATTTATGGATGTGAGCACAAACATCATGTTGACATAACGATGACAAAAACGGAACGAAAACATGATGTCTTGTCAGTTAAAGTCTGTCACTTTCCTGTAAATAGTTGACATATGTAAACGTGAGTGAGAAATTGTTGAATGATGCCACAGTTTCGTGATACTGTGTGCATTTCTAATTTAATTTCAACTCGCAATCCTCTAATAGAATAATGGAGTTGAGCGGGATGCCGAGTACAACAACAACAACCCACGAGGCTATGACTATAGTGGTCATTCAAAGCCGCCCCCTCAAAGTATTCCTAGTGGCGATTAAATTGAGCGATGGTAAGTGTAATAATGTAGAGAAAAAGAAAAGATTTTCGGAAATTGGTGTTGTTGATCATTTTCAAGATGATAATTATTCTGTCGATATTATTACTGAGCTCGAGTGGAATGGCAGAGAAGGAAGAGTGTGTATAAAAATTATTTTCATGACAGATGAGATAAAAGAGCCCACATCGCAAAAATGGAATATGAGCAATAGTGAATTCATATTTTGAAGTAAATGAAAAACGTCTCAAATGGTTTTTAGAGTAATATCTTCATTGCCACGTATTATGAATAGCTACTAACTGCTAAGTGAATGTCTGATTTGATTAGTAGTTTCATAGTCATTTCTTGTAATTATAAAACAAAATCTGTTTCTTTTAATAAGCGTACTATACGTGCATGATACGTACTTGAAATGTTCAACATAGAGTTTTTGTAACTGATATATTTATTGCTTAGACAAGCTGTCTAGTCTTTGGGACTACACTGCGGTTCGGCCACCTCCTCGATTGTACCATCATTGGGCACCATATAAGTGTGTATTAACTTTTTGAATATTTTGTACTCTCTGGGATGCTACACGAAAAGTTGCACCCATAACGTACAAACTCGGAAAAGTAAGTTTCCGACTAGACCGAACTGTTTTTGTGGGCAAAGTCAGAATAGTGCAATAGTGAATCTGAATATCAAACTGACACAAATACAGGAGAAAAATGTGATAGCCGTATCCGTCGGCAAACACATAAAAAAGCAGATGCGAAAAGAATAACTTAAAAATACGTAAAAAAAGTTAAAATAAAGAAAGGACACGACAAATAAATAAATAAATATGGCCGAGCCATCTTAAAGGCTTCTTCTGTCCGTAACAAGTGACCTGGAAGAAAGAGGACTGTGAATTTATCACTAATGACTGTTATTACTATTATTATGATGAGAATGCGAAGAGGCAAAAACGACAAAATAATGTAAAAGAGAAAAAGGGGTAGACAGAAAGTAACGAGTTGTAAATTAGCTACTGATGGTGATTCAAATAAAGTGATATTCTTGTCAGAAAAACAAAAAAAAAAACTTGAATACATCTTTTTCTAATTTATTTCTTCATAAAGCGTAACGCCTTAGCAATATGCCTACTAAATATAGAACTGTAGGTCACGAAATTCTTATGGACTATTCCATAGAAGGTTGTTTGTTTCTTGTGAGAGTGGAACATAGTGTACAGCTTCGCGCAAGAGGAGGCAATTTGACTAGATTTGTAAATCACGAAGCTTTAGCCGGGAAAATAAGGTAATGCATTCGCTAGCATTATGTACGCTGACCAATCCATTGCAAGCTTAAATACAGGAAACCAGCCCTATATCGGCAGATATGTACGCGGATGTTTTGGCTTTGGATCTTATTGCTGGTGTAGGGATGTAAATTATGTGAATTACAAATTATTTATGTTTAGCTTTGTAGGAAACCAGGTCTGTCATTACAATGACACCAGAACTATTCAGACAATTGTGGCAGCTCTAATGGCCAGCGCAACGTTTGCGGCAGTTACGGTAAGAAATGTCGGGTATTTAGGCAGTATGTTGACTGTGTTTTATGGGAAAAATAGAAAAATACCTGTTTAGTGCCCTTTACAAGAAACATGGTCTTCCAATTATAAAAAAAAGCGGTCGTTTCACCCTCATATACCACTTTATTCCATAGGAAGAAACCATTACCAAATGACAGCCGCCTGGGAGATGTATCACTTAGAAACAAGCATTGAAAACAGAAAGACGTATATCGAGTCGTACTATTGTTAGACTATAGCTTGTACGCCAAAGATTATGTAGATCTTTACAAAACTCGGCAGTGCAAGGTAGTCAAGGGCAATGTCGTACATATTTATTTACGGATATAAACCTATCAAGGTGAGAGTTTTCACGAGCTAGGCCTTTTTCTAAATATTCCGATACGTAAAATACGTAAACGTTTTTTACACCACGAGATTGTATGTCGTTGCATTATGTGTTAATGAATAATTTGACTTTAGTATTAAAAATTATTCTGAAAATTTTGTTTCCAATATGATTTTCAATCATTCTCAGTACCATTTTCGGTACGACCTTTAGTCATATTCGAAATGCCAATTATTCTCTCGCGATGTTATGTCCTTCGTTTAGCTCATGGCGACTGTTCAAGAATCTATTGAAACCAATTAAGGTTGTTGTATGTTTGCTATCGATTAAGGCTATGTTTAATCAGTGTTAAGATTATTGCCCCCAATCTTCACAGGATAGGTCAAAGGATGTGGGCTGCTAGGTAGGACTTTGTTCTACAGTTTAGAAGAAATTATGTTATAGGTTATAAAACAGTAAAATAACAGTTCAGGAAGATCTGCCTTAACAGTCCATTTAGAATTTCCTTTACTAGTTTTCTTAAATTAAACGTTATTTCTTTTTTATTTCTTAGTGCCTTTATTTACAAAGAAAAATTGGCTATAATGTTATGCTATGCGTTAGTAGGTATTTATTTATAATCGAAAACAGAATTCAATATCAGAGCGAGAATCCTTTAGAGCTAAAAAAAACATTTCTTGTATCTATCAAAGGTAGGATTACTATTGGGGAACTAAATGTAAATTTCAGAGGCATAGGATAATTAAAAAAGAGGCATGTTTATAACTAGAAAAAGAAGCACTGTTCTAGTTACAAAAAAGTAGACTTACGGTTGAAGCAAGCACTGCTATTTTTTACAATAGTTCTAGGCAGTATTGGACCATGTACGCTCATCAGTATTAATAATGCGTTAAACAGTTATAATTTTTGTTACATCGCCATTGTAGAAGACCTTTTATATCAACTCTATGGTCCGCTTCATCGTCATCGTCATGTTAAATGTTGCCCACACATAAAGCCTTTCCTAACAAGAGGCATGACGCTGGTGCGCGCCTTCTATGGTAGCGCAAAGCCCGGATAAGATAGGTGGAAAAATCTGTGTACAGTACGTTACTTATTTTTCCTATCGATCTTTTGAGCTGGGAGAAGATTGTGAAATAAGGTAAAACGGTACGAGACCGTAAGTGAAAATCGTTTAAACTTAGGGTTTTTAACATGAGAAACTTAATGGTGAAAAAATGATAAGGTGTTGAAGCCCGAAGAAACTCGAAACCTTCCAAAGACAGACTGACGGAATACAGAATAAACAGAAGAGAGATGTGATGCAAAAAATATGACATACTGTAATCTTGACCTCCGTCAAATTCCAAAATATCAGCTTTTCATGGCGGCACGAATAGTAAATAGAGATAATAAAAGCTAATAGGACTGAGAGAAAATATTGTCTTTCCTGAGTCTGCATGACGCTGATAGCGTATACCTTTAAATCAAGATCACATTTAATTTAATTTTCATACATACTAGAAGTAAAAATGATGACATAAATCCCTAAATAGTATCATATTATCATAACCGAAAGTTCCCTCGACTAAGCCTCACACGGCATAGGAATGTGCCGATTAGAGCTATCCGTCTAACTTTTGAAATGAACTAGGTTTTTACTAAACTTTCGACCCGTATATCTAGCTTACTTTTCAACTTGCTAATACCAATTAAAAATAGTATTTGAATCATATTAGGTTATAAAGAAGGAAGAGCCGTTTTTCTTTCCTGCTTCTTCGCTCTGATAGCCAAGTGATGGCTAGTGGTCTTGCTGCTTCTGGTTACCGTTGGAAGACTTTTCTTCGTTTTTTCTACAAAGTTACTGTTCAGTGTATTGTTCGGATACCGCAATCTTATGTTTGGGCTCAAACATGAGCATGTTGGTGAAAGAGTAGTGTAGTGAGACATCGATTCTTTGCTGATCTCAAAAAAAATGCGGATATTGTTTTTTAGTTAAAAGGTATAAATGCATCTAAAAAAACACATGCTGTTTTTGCTGCCGAACACTTATCTTCGGAAGCCAAGGTTAAGCTCCTAATCCAGATAAAATATTGACAACATGTGACCAGAACAGTCAAGAAAAAGCTTCCCAATGATATATGTAACATCTCGATGATCAGCAAACCAAAAGTTGTAAAACGAAGCAGCAATAGTCATAAATGGACATTGAGTTTTAACAAACAAAGATCAGTTAAATTACTTTTATTACAATCGAGCTGACAATTTGGTTTGGAGTATTTTATTTGACTCATTTTATAAGATTTCTTCACACATCAAGTTACATAAGTCTACAGCAAAGCGTATAAGTTAGATTAACGAGAACCTGGTTACAATGGTTACTCTGATGAAAAGTTAAAAATAAACGCCTGGTTGTAGCTGCATGGCTACATACAGGCACTGAAAGCCTTTTGTATTTTAACCGATCCGTGTGCAGTAAAACTTACTGGTTTGCTATCTATTTATCTACTTTACAAACTGCTGTTACTGGAAATCTTTAGAAGCGGGCTCGTCCGATTCGAATAGACCCCGCAGGGTGGATAGATTGGACTGATTTTTTGCGGTCTATGTAGCTCGTCCTTGGAAAAAAACAGCACAGAAGATGAAGCTAATTAAACGATAATTTTTGTTCTTTCAGGAAAAATTTTGTTTCTCTCATAAAGCGTAAACTTAATACACTGCAATTATATCACACAACACCAAATCGGCTGACCAACGACGCTGATAAACAAGGAAGGGCTGCTATTGAGAGCAAGCTGCACCTTTACGGTGATACCTGTCTCTCTGCGGACATTAATTGTGTGAAATTAGAGTTGGGTTGTCCATACAGCAACCCAATTTGTGAAACATTAAAAGTTGTGGAGAACTTAACATCAACACGAGATAGAACACGAGACAGATAATCAGCGAACTCCACAACGAGATAGGCACTTGAAACCTTTGCAAAGATACACTAGTAGTAATAATGAAAGTAATTGGCTACGATAGAACTAACGCGAACATTCATTGCCATGATGTGCAAAGTTTGTCCTCACTTTAAAGCGTATTTCTTTAAATATAAGATAGTGAATTTCTTTTGCATTCAAGAATAAATTTCATTATGTGACATAGTGATTTGTACACAAGCAACGCGCCTGTTACAAAACTTTCGCAATACGACACGTAATTTCAGATGACGCCTTTCAGTATCACATGGAAGTGCCGTCCTCCAGAGAGAACGTATAATTTTTCATTATATCAAGCGTTGTATATATTAAAATTTGACTATTTATGACACATAGCGTACCTCCAATTATCTTAATTCTACTAGGTGGATACACAAGGCAATATCGAAGGTCGCCTACTAATTATCGATGGATTAGAAAGGTGGAACTTCTCTACAGAAACACCTGCAATAAAATGACGGAATTGGCGTTACAAGATCCTAGGAGAAATGCCACAGAATGGAATACGCCTGTCATCGAACTAGCCTTTGTTGGGTTAGATCCAGGTTCGCATCCGGGTATAGACACACTTTCTTTCGTGGTGGGAACCAGTCGACTGATGGAATACCTAATGGCGGTACCGAATGTAAAACTCTACATAGAGGCATAGACATGGAGGCTAGATTTAACATGGATTTAACTTGTTTGAACTAAAACAAGCTGATAAAAAAACTGCAGAATGCTACTTAAATGAGCGGGGTAGTTTGTAACGGGATAAGAGTTGGAGCCACATAGTTCACGTTCGACTAGGTGTAAAATCAAGAAATGAATATAATCAATAATATCTAATTAGATAAACCAAAGGCAAAGCTGGCGGCGAGCGAAACTCGCAGCCTTTCTAATGTACTAATAACACTTTGTTCGCTTGTTTCTTTGTTCAACTAAAATCGAATCTTTAAGGTGGTTGTATTGGACTGATCTTTGCATCACTTTCAGTCTATTTTAGTCTGAGAAGAGCAGCTGGTAAGATAGGCCCCTAAAGTGATAGCCGAATGTTTACATGAAACCCTATGCAGGGCGAAAGGTATTCGTTCTTGATACTAATCAAAAACGTCCGCCAAGCTGATATTCTATGTAGGAGAAGATTTTTTGCTATCAATCAATAAATCCCGACGAGTTGACTAGCTGTGTGACACATTCCTTTATATTTCAAATGGGCATTTTGAACGGTTTTTGAGCGAATTTCTAGTAGGAGTCAACTGATACGGTTGATATAATGAACATTTCAATATTTTTAAAAAAATGTTTTTTGAGAGGTTTG